TCTGTTCACAAAATCGAGTTCCTTAAATCTGTTCTTCACTTCCACTTTGTATTCATAAGGGATTTGGTTTAGATTATACCTGACTAGCCCAGTAGTTTTTCCTGCTTTCTTCAGTTTAAGCTTGAATTTTGCTATAAGAAGCTGATGATCAGAGCCACAATCAGCTCCAGGTCTTTTTTTTCCTGACTGTAGAGAGCTTCTCCACCTTTGGCTGAAGAGAATATAATCAATCTGATTTCGGTATTGCCCATCTGGTGATTTCCATGTGTAGAGTCTCCTCTTGTTGGAAAAGAATGTTTGTGATGACCAGTTTGTTCTCTTGACAAAACTCTATTAGCCTTTGCCCTGCTTTGCTTTGAACTCCAAGGCCAAACTTCCCTGTTGTTCCTTTTATCTCTTGACTCCCTACTTTATCATTCCAGTCCCCTATAATGAGAAAAACATCTTTCTTTGGTGTCAGTTCTAGAAGATGTTATAAGTCTTCATAAAATTGGTCAATTTCAGCCTCTTCAGCATTGCTGGTTGGTGCATAAACTTGGATTACTGTGATGTTGAAAGGTCTGCCTTGGATTTGTATTGAAATTATTCTATCATTTTTGAGATTGTATCCCAATACAGTTTTTCCCACTCTTTTGTTGACTATAAGGGCTACTCCATTTCTTCTGTGGGATTCTTGCCCACATTAGTAGATATGATAATCATCTGAGTTGAGTTTGCCCATTCCTGTCCATTTTAGTTCACTGACTCCCAGGATGTCAATGTTTATTCTTGCCATCTCATGTTTGACCACATCCAGCTTACCAAAGTTTGCACCTCTTACTATTCTTAATTTATTTTTTAGTTTATCCATGAGACCTAGCAGGTCCTTTCAAACCAGGAGCTGGTATGAAGACCACCTAACAAATTCCATGTATGAGCAGCCTTGCCACTGTGAGGAAGAGAGCTGTGAAGTATTTGCAAAGTAACCCTTAATTTTTACCAGTGAATACAAACAGAAGCAGGAAAGCCCCAAATTTCTGTAAAAAAATTTATGCCTAATGTCTGATACAACGTTTGTCACTTCTTTCCAAAAAGCAGCTCCTTTGAGACATCGCAGCCAATCATTCATTCTTCCTCACAGCACTGTTGGTACTTGCATGAAAGTTGCCTTACAGATTTGGATAACATTCACAGGACGTTTGTGCACCACTTTGAGAGTTTTCCTTGAGTGATGCTGATCTGGTTTTGAAAGTCTTGTTGATATTAAAAAAGCATTCATACATACAGCCATGGAGAATGTGAAGAGAACAAGCTGCATCCTAAATAAGCATGTCTCCACCATACATTGTATAGATCCAGTAACAGTGACCAGTTTCTACACTGCAACATAAAAACGTCTTTGTGTATGCTGGTTTGGGGGCAGGAAAGGGAATTGTAAAAAAAGTGCATTAAGTTATATTTATTTAAATGTAAAGTAAACAATAGCCTTTGTTTTTCAGGGTGTGGGGAAAAACAAAGTGGTTGACAGATTTCTTCACCTGTTAAATAGACCAAGAGAATACTTGCAATTGCATAGGTGAGAAATACTAGGTAATTGTTTTCATGACTTCGTTATTGGGTTCTTACTGTTACATTAGATTTTTCAAATGTGATTTTCCAGAACTAGTGCATTTACATTTTGCAAACTATGAACTTGTTAGCATTCATAATGCTAGTTTTTGTTATCTCTCTCTCTCTGTGTGTAATGTGAGAATGGCAGGTAGCATGAATATGGGATATAAATGATTCAAATCAATGAATGGGAAGGGAAGGTATTGCATTTTGCTATGTAAGTAGAAGACATCTTCTTGGAATATACCATTGCATATACTGTGCCTTGGAGAGGCAGCACTTTTCCCTCTCTAGAAATCACAGTGACAAAATCTAGGCAGCCTAACCCCAGTGTAACTAGACTCCAGGAGTGTATCTAGACTGCACAGTCATGGCAGTTTGCTTCCACTTTAGTTGCTATGGCTCCATCCTGTGGAGTGCTAGGCTCAGTAGTTTGGGGAAGAGTTTTACATTTTCCACTACACTTTAAGAGAGTGTGCTAGAGCTCTCTGGTGGAGAATGCCTCTTACCTTAAAAAGGTAAATGTTACCCTTGACAGTTGTCCAGTCGAGTGTGACTCTAGGGCAGTGGTTCTTAACCTTGGGTTACTCAGGTGTTTTTGAACTGCAACTCCCAGAAACCCCAGCCAGCACAGCTGGTGGTGAAGGCTTCTGGGAGTTGCAGTCCAAAAACACCTGAGTAACCCAAGGTTGAGAACCAGTGCTCGAGGGGACAGAGCTCATCCCCGTCTCCAAGCCGTAGAGCCAGTGTTTGTCCGTAGACAGTTTCCATGATCAGGTGGCCAGCACGACTAAACTGAATGCCGTGATCTTCCCACCGTGGTAGTACCTATTTATCTACTCGCGTTTTTACATGCTTTCGAACTGCTAGGTTGGCAGGAGCTGGGACAAGCGACGGGAGCTCACTCCGTCGCGAGGATTCAAACTGCTGATCTTTCGACCTTGCAGCCCAGAGGCTTCGCAGTTTAACCTTTGCGGTTTAACCTGTCCCTCCTCATACCTTAGCAAACTAAAAATTCCAGCATTTCATGGGATTCAGCCATGACAGTTAAAGTTAAATCAAACTGGCATTAATATACAGCATAGCTACACCCCAGGGCAGTTCTGACTGAACTAGAATTGTTATTTTCTATAGATAACATGTGGGATTGGATGCCATTTTTCTATGTCACTTTAGGAACAATGGGCATAATTTCCATCTCTTACTGAACTGTGCAGTGGTAAGAATCTAATAGGATAGGAACTTTGCCAATACAGTGGGGTCTTGACTTGAGAACTTAATCCGTATTGGAAGGCGGTTCTCAAGTCAAAAAGTTCTCAAGTCAAATCTGCATTTCCCATAGGAATGCATTGAAAACCATTTGATCCGTATCTGCTCTTTTCCGTCCATAGAAACTAATGGGAAGCTGCTATTCCGCCTTCGACTACTGGAGGGGGATATTTTGTTTCTTTTTTTTCTTAGGTCAAGAAAGGTTCAGAGAAGGCAGGGAAAATACAGTCCAGGCAGTACAGTACCAGGCAGTCTGAAGACTGTCTCCCAATCCACTCTCTAAATGCTGGGAGGAGTGAGGAAGCAGACAGGCACCCTTTTCAATGGCCAACAGTTAACTGAAAGTTCACATTTTGCACTTTCCCTGCCTCCCATGTGGTTTTTTTCAGTTCTTAACTCAAATCTAAGTATGTAAGTCAAGTCAATATTTTCCTATGAGAGTGGTTCTTAAGTCAAAATGTTCTTAACTCAAGCCGTTCTTAAGTCAAGCATCTCTTACTGAACTGTGCAGTGGTAAGATTCTGATAGGATAGGAACTTTGCCAACAGGTTTGCCAGGAGTGGATCATTAATCTCCATTCCAAGGTGTGTGGGACAGAGATCCCAAGCTATGTGAGGTATCTTTGTGCAGGGTGAACATCAGAGAAAGGGCAAAAAACCTGTTGATACATTTTGAAGTTCACCTTCACTGAAAATAATTCTCTGCTCGTAGAGGAATATAGAAGTGTGAATATGACATAAGTGCATAAAACCTATTTGAGTGAAGGGGATTCTTGTATTGGAAATGGGTTGAAACTTTCCTCAGTTGTTCAAGAATTGTTTTTAGCAAGTCCTGTTTTGCTTATTTAAATTAGGGATTGCTGTTTTAAAAAGTCATAAGGGTATCATTTTCTGACATAACAATAAAATGAACATAAATGCCTTTCCCCATAGCAGTGTTGTTTAGTAATTGAAAATATATCCCGTTTCCCCCTAATTTTTAATCTAGTTTACAATAGGGTACTTACATATGTATCAGGGACTGGAAATGTTTGTCCCTTCCAGTATCTAGGATGACAATTCCCTTCATCTAGAAGTTGAATTCCAAAACATTTGAAGGGCCACAGCTGCCATATCCTTGCTGTAGTGCATACTATATTGTGGCCTGGCATCATGACCCTTTGTATCCCAGGTCAAAGTAAGAATGATATTAACTTTGTTGAATGAGTTTGAATAAAACTTGTGTATGTGTTGCACTCTTAGAGACACCACAGTACAAAGTCTTACACTTCAGCCTTCTGTTAAAGACGGTCTTATTATATATGAAGATTCTCCACTCGTAAGTAATTTCTATTTAAGGCACGTTTATACATTTCAATATATCCTGAAATTTATCCCCACCCCCCACCCCCAATTTCCCAGTGTACTGTAATATGTCAGACGTTAGTTCCTATATTCTTCTTTGGCTTGTCCAGGGAACATTGTGTTGCAACTCTTATTCAGTCTATAACAACAAAAGGAGCCATTATTCTTTCTTACCTGAAAGTACATCTTGCAAACGTTCTATTTAACTTTGTCCACATTGCTATTGTACAACAATTGTACAATAAGTGATTAATAAAAATTACAGGAGGCTCAGATTAGTAACTGCTAAAAACCCACTGCCAGTGCATCCTTTTCTGTGGGTGTAGAGTTAAACCTTTCCTTCCTCCACAGGAACTGTGTTCCTTCATTATCCAGTTAATTGAATACAGTGAATGTGTTTTCTTTAGTAGCTGAAGTGTGAGTGTTTTGTGAATTCTCAGGCAGTGACTATACAAATAAATAGTAGGAGATTTGTTGAGATGGTAAATTGTGTGCATTCCATTTTTTTAACTGATCACATGAAGCAAAGGCCAATGCAAATCAACTGGCTCCTTTTTTTGCTTCTGAAGCAGAGGTTCTTTTCCCTGCTTCCAGAAGCTTCCACCTTTTTCCAGCCTAAGTGATTTGAACAGTGTTTTCCCTGTGTGATAAACTGTTTCTTTCTCCAAAAGGATAGGGGAGGTAATTGTGGATTGTATTCTGGTGACATACTAAACTGAGTGTGATGTTTTGAGCAGCTGGAACACCCTCCCCTGCGATTGTTCTCCACCAGCAAAAAAGTGTTTTTAAATTGTTTTAAACAAACTGTTGAGTTTAGTGCTAAATCACTTTCTTGGTGCATTGATACATTAGTTTAGCACTAGATCACCTCTGCATAATTAAAAAAATTATAAAAATTGATACGAAATAGAAACAACTCTGATAACCTACATTTTGCAGTGCTTGTGTATGTGTTTCCATGTTATTAAGAATTTTGGAAAACTACCCCTTTTCCTTAACACTACGCAACACTTTAGACAGGCCACTGGCTTTACAATGAACCATAAAAGGAGAAGTGGGGATCGGCAGAGCATGAGGTCAAAGGAAGGGGAGTTGTGGCATGGATCAAACCACAGTGGAATGAGAGACCAGTGTGACACTGGCACCAAAACAATCAGTGGTCTCTGTGTGTGATTATCTAGTATGGACAGAAGAGTGAAATAGGCTGTAAATCAAGCCACAGCCTATGTGGTCTGAGCCTCGATCAGTGTGCAGGTGTCAGGGTAAATTGTGTAGTTTATATATGCTCAAAGTTCATTATGATTTCCATTTCCCCAGGTGAAAGCTGTCAAAAAAGGGCATATTCTAGTTATTGATGAGGCAGACAAGGCACCAACAAATGTTACTTGCATTTTAAAAACATTAGTAGAAAGTGGGGAAATGATTCTATCAGATGGAAGGCGCCTTGTTGCTGGTAAGTGTTCACAAAGGGTAAGATATTACAGCACCTGTGGTTATTGCATTAATAAATACATTGCTGTGTTTAATTTAGCAGATGTGTAGATTGAAATTTCATTCTTCAGGGTACTGGGCTTCCTTTGTTTATTAAGGAGACACAAGAGAGCCCTTTGTTTACATTACATAGCAATGATTCTAACACTGTAAGTCTCAAAATGCTATTGCTGATAAAACCGGTATCAGTTGAACCAAAAGTTTGATGTATGGCATCTGTGAACTATCCCATGAGATCTATAACCATGCCAGATTTTAAATCAGTCTGTTACAAATAGTTACAGGAACAGCAGGCTTAAATAGAGTTGAATATTGACATGTTGGTCTCTTTTACTCCTTTTTCTTACAGGAATTTCATATTTTTCAAGTTGTGGTAAAAATGCATTGCTTTATTTTATTCATGCTTTTAACAGAGAACTGTTGTTCATTAATTTTGTGAATTTCTGAGCAGGAATTTAAAGTTATGTAGGTTTTCCTCATTAAAGCCTCTGGAAGCAACTGCTGACAAAATTGTGTCATGCAGACTCATTTCAGTTCTGAGGCTAGAATATGCCAGTGTTCCAATTCTTTCAGAAGATTCTGTATTATAAATAAATTTAGTGAGCAACGGCTGTGTATTAAGCTATAAAATGTAATTTCACAAGTTAAGGCGGTGTGTTACTCTACTTCAAAGGGGGATAGGTTTGCTGCGGATGAAGGTAGTTTCTTCTTTGTGATGTCCATATACGCACATGAAAAGGTTTTTGCGCCTGTGGGAAAACCAGTCCAGAAACTTCCAGAGCCTCAAAAACAAAAGTGCCTCTCTGCCTATTCTGCGCATGTGTGGCCCCGCTCTCCTCAGTCCGTTTTTGTCCATCACTGGGATAGCATGAAAACAACTGCTCTGTAGCTTCGGCTTACTTACTTGCAATTTTTTTTGGTAGATAAGTCCTCTACCGTTTCCTTGCTACTTTTTGTATCTTTCCTTCCTTTAAGAGCTGCAAAGTGGGGGGGGGTTAGTTTTAGCTACCCTCCCTCCCTCCCATGGCTTCTAATCCTTTTCAAAGATTTATGGCCTCTGCCTTGATGAAAAAATGTGCTGCTTGTGGCAAAAAAGATTTGCCAGTCTGATGGATATGAGATCTGTTTTTTTCTATTTGGGAGAAGCTCACCTAGTCCAGTACTGTAAGATTTGTAAGAGCTTTACTATCCGTACAGTCAAAAACCGCCAATTTCGACTCTGTTTCTTCCTCTGGAAATAATCCCTCCAGGCCACTGATCTCATTCCTAGAACACATCAGAGCCCCCAAACCACCATTTCCAAGTGGATGAACCAAATGGCTTTGTCATGCTCCTTCGTTCTTGAGCCACTGTTGAGTTTGACAAAGAAATCGGAGCACAGAAGCAAAAAAAATCTAGCGACCTCCGATGTCGAGGCAGTTAAGTGAAAGAAGTGGCAACCTCACAGTGCTGAACCCGCTGTAGCTACCTTGAATCCTCAGTTGCCTATCTGAGAGCCAACCTCTTCCCGTGTCACTGACACCCAATATACAGTCTCCGTTTCAGAGGGTGAGTTCCATAGCCCTTTTGTGCAGAGTGTTGCAGCTTCGCCGAGAGCGCCCTCTCCTCCAACTTCTCTCTGGAAGCAGTCTTCGCCTCCTCTTGAATTTGAGGATGGGCACCGGTTGAAATCGAGGTCCTGACCAATGATCATATCAGATGGGAAGCCATAACAGGGAGGACAAGAGATTGAGATCACACTCAGTTTCACAATCCCCAGTATACCGACATTGCCCACGCTACTGTGGCCTCCCTCACTGGACTCTCCATACTGTGAGGATGTGCAATACACTCGTTTCTTCTACCCACAACAGTTTGTTTATTGTGACATGGGATGGCCCTCCCCATTGCACAGGAGCCATCACTAATCTTGGGGCAGTAGCAGATCTTGATCCTGTACACGCATTCGTCATTGATCTTGAGAATGATGTACTACCAGCTCTCAGGACTGATCCCCACTTTGTGACTTCTTTCTTCATTATTGGACTCAAAACTACTCTCAGTCTCAAGCTTCATCAGGGCATGAACACAAGCCCCAGCGGTCTACTGCACTATGTCTCCAACAAGGGCAGCACCACTGGATTGGATCCCCCCCAGCCCACCCCCTATGCCTTGGCTCTTCACCTTTGCTTTTGCCTCCTCCCAATCCGGATTACAGTATGTGTACTTATCTTCCTGCCTCCTCATGACCTCCATCACCTGCTGGCAACACCTGCAGCCCCTACAAGAGGAAGACAACCAGATGATGCCTTGTCTGAGCCAGAAGAAGAAAGGGAATCTGCTGCTGCCCTGCAATCCTCACCTGGTTCTGACATGCAGAGTGATTACACCTCCTGGTCTTCAAACCAGTACCACCAGTGAAAGACTCAGTTTTTGCCGGGGTCCACAAAAAAGCCAATATCCCCGTAGAAATAGCAATGCTTGAAACTCTGACTAACCTCATTATGCAGTCATGGCAAAAGCTTTCCTCAATCCCACTGACATTTCGTACGGTTGAGAATTTCCATAGGGTCCAACAGGACAAAGCTAAATTCCTGTTTAAACACCCTGCACCGAACTCCATCATTACTCAAATGGTCCAGATGAGATCCAGTGGTTTCTTCCATGATACTCTGAACAACAGAGAAAGCCGTACGTTGGACCTCCTCGCTCGCAAGGTTTACTCCTCTGCAGCTCTCCACATTCACCTAGCCAACTACCAGGCTATGATGGGTGTTTACCATCAATTTATTTGGGAAACGTTCCAGACCATACTTGCTGCTTTGCCAGCAGATAAGAAGTCACTAGCCATTTCCTTTCAACAGGAGGAGCCGCAAATCCTCTCTGCCTGTCATGTGACCAACTGTGCGGCTAAGACCTCATACCATCCAAGACAGATGGCTGTCCAATTATTTCTTTAAAACCTCCAGTGATGGGGCAGCCACAACATCGGGAGACAAGCTGTTCCACTGCTTAATGGTTCTCACCGTCAGGAAATTCCTCATTATTTCCAGGTTGGATCTCCCTCTGAAGAGTTTCCACCCATTGGTTCTTGTCCTACCCTCAGGTACAACAGAGAATAAATCAGTGCCTGGGATCTCCCTCTGAAGAGTTTCCACCCATTGGTTCTTGTCCTAGCCTCAGGCACAACAGAGAATAAATCAGTGCCTTCTTCCCTGTAGCAACCCTTCAGATATTGGAAGACTGCTATCATGTATCCCCTCAGTCTTCTCTTTGTTAAACTAAACATATCTAGTTCTTTTAGTCGTTCTTCACAGATTTTAGCCTCCTTATCATCTTTGTTGCTTCAGTCCCCTTAATCATCTTTGTTGCTCTTCTCTGCACCCCTTCCAGGGCCACAGCGTCTTTTTTTTGTATTGTGGTGACTAGAACTGGACACAGTACTCCAAGTGCAGCCTCACCAGCATGGTATAGAGTGGTACTATTGTTTTGTGTGATCTTGATGCTATCCCCCTGTTGATGCAGCCTAGAACCATGTTGGCTTTCTTGGCAGCTGCAGCACACTGCTGACTCATCCTTAGGCAGACCGGAAACCAAGACAGCAGTTTTGACATGCTCCAGCCCAAGCTCAACGCACATATTTTCCCACCTCCACTCCCCCTTACCCCCATGGCTACAGACTTATGCTTGGTGCCATTCCTAGGGCGTTGTCACGTTGGACAACTCACAAGTGGGTGCAACGAAATGAGGTGCTCTTCCCCAAGGTAAAACTGGACAACACCACTACGAAAAAAAAAGTTAAAAAATATCATGTTGGATGCATGGGATCTCAACCCATAGATATGCCATATTCTTTACTCTTCTACCTACCGGACGTATCAGGCACACTCCACCTCCAAGATGATGGGCTGCATCCTATCCTAGACTTCTGTACCCATAGATATGCCATATTCTTTACTCTTCCACCTACTGGACGTATCAGGCACACTCCACCTTCTCTCGTCCTTCAGGAAGAAAACAGCACCTTGCTCAGAAAAGGAGCCATATCAAGAGTATCTCTTCACTGTATCTCAGATGGCTTCTTTTCCTGGTACTTTACCATGCCCAAAAAGGTTGGTGGGCTGCATCCTATCGTAGACTTCTGTGCCTTCAACAAATGCATCACCCCAAGCACTTCCGTATAGTCACACTATAGTCTATTCTTCCTCTGCTCCAACAAGGAGATTGGTTAGCATCCATAGATCTCCACAACACATATTTCCACGTATCAACCACCCACAACATAATTGATTCCTCAGATTCTTTGTCCACCGCCAGGCCTATCAGTTCCACACCCTCCCCTTTGGACTTTCAGTGGCCTCACGGGTTTTTACAGTGTATGGTGCCAGTGGCAGCCTTTCTCAGAACTCAGAGTGTCACCACGTTTCCCTACATCAACAATTGGCTTCTGGTGGCACACAATTTAAAAAAAGCCTCTGCAAGCCAACATCAGTTTTACCCTACAATTACTTTCCAGTCTTGGGCTATAAGTGAACATTTGAAAAATCTCTCCTTGTCCCATCTGAGACTATCCATTACTGTACATTGGAGCAGTCCTGAATGCTACACACATATGAGCTTTTCTCCCTCAACCACAAGTGGACACTATCATAGCTCTACCCAAAGACTTATTTGGACTCTACACATATCAGTCCACTCCATCCAACTGGCCATCCTGCCTCACTCCAGGCTCAGGATGTGCCCATTCCAGTCTTTTTACCTATTCGCCTACAACAACAGATGGGATCCACCCAACAAAAGGCTGTCTCATTTGCTATGACTCGAACACCAGCTTCTTTGATGAATGCCTCCAGCTCATACTCTCTTTCCACCAGCCACATCCCTCATGTTTCATAGTCACAGACATGAGCATGACGGGATGGGGAGCACACTGCTGCCACAAAGAAGTAACAGGCACAATGGTGCACACATGAGAGGACCCATCACATAAATTTCCTTGAGCTTCTAGCCATTTTCAAAGCTCTCCAGGCATTCAGAAACATAATACAAGGCTCTACTGTCCAAATTGCCATGGACAATATAATGGTAATATATTATCTAAACAGGGCAGCACCAAGTCTCTGAGCCTCCTCTGCCTGCCAGGCCTTCTCAGGGAGAGATCCATTGCCCACCAGATTTTTCCAATAGCAACCCATGTCTCAGGCACAGACAATGAGACAGCAGATTGCCTCAGTTCAACGATGACTGAAACACACAAGTGGAAACTCTCCCACAGAATATACAATCAACTTGTTTCCCACTGGGGCGAGCATGCTGTGGACATTTTTGCCACTGCCAACAAATCAAAATGTGCCTTCTACTGCTCCCGGATAGCCAGAGGCAGACAACCCCTAGGGGACGTCTTCACCATAGTTTGGATTCACAACCTTCTGCAAATGTTTCCTTCCTTTCCTCATATGCAGTGGGTAGTTGTGAAGATCCTGCACAATCGATCTAGTGTGATCCTGATCACCCTTGGTGGCTGCACCAGCAATGGTTTACAAATCTTCTCATCGTAGCCACAGGCAGGCTGTCTCTTCATTATGACCTCCTTTCTTGCCATCATGGCATTGTCCTTCATCCTCACATCAGTCACCTAAAGCCCACTGCTTGGAGAATATCCCCTTTCTCACCAGCATCCTAAAACCAGCAAGACACCCCTTCACTAACCAACTCTACCAGTACAAATGGAGGAGATTTCAACTTTACATGTCTTCTCAGAATCTCCCAGAATCTCCAACCGTTCTATGTACTGTCTTGGCATTCCTACTACACCTTGCACAACAAGAACTCTCCATCTCCTCTCTTAAGGTCTATCTCATAGCTATAGTAGCACATCAGCTGGCTGGCCACTCATCTTCCCAGTTCTTCAAACATCCAACTGTCAAAACGTATCTGAAGGGCCTCCAGAATGCGTATCCGGATGTGCAGCACCCTCAAGATCCCTGGCCCCTCTTCTTGGTTCTGTCTCATCTCACCAAGCCCACCTTTGAGCTGCTGGCAACAACAGACCTTTGGGCTGCTGACTCTCAAGGTGGCATTCCTGGTGGCCCTTATATTTGCCTGCAGGGCCACCAAGTTAACAACCTTATGATGTGATTCCCCCCTTCATTGTTTCCCCCCAGTATAAATTAACTCTCCACATGGACATTACTTTCCTACCCAAGGTAGCTTTGCATTTCCATATGTCTCAACCTCTTAGTTTACCTACTTTTATCCTTCACTGCAGAATGACTTGGAAAGGTCACTGCACTCCTTGGATGTCAGGAGGGCCTTGGCTTTCTACCTAGACAGGACAAAAGACTTTAGACACACTACCAGGCTTTTTGTCTGCTAGCAGGTTCTAAAAAAGACATCCAGTCTCCTGTCAACACTTCTCTAAATGTATATTTCAGGCCGTTGCCCTGAGTTATGAACTAGCAAATAAACCCCTGCCTCTAGCTTTCTGTAGCCATTCCACCGTGGTGGAGTGTAGACATACAAGAAATCTGCTGAGCAGTGACATTTCTCACCCGTTACAGACTAGACCTCAGAGCCCAGAAAGATGCTGCTTTTGGACAGGCTGTTCTGTCCTCTGTTCTGGCATAACGCCCACCTTAGAACTTTAGCTTGCCTGTCACCCCTTTTTGTGTGCATACATGGATCAAGAAGAAGACTTGGTTCTTCACCATAACTGATTACTAAGTGGTGATCCATGTATCCACACAACCTGCCCACTTCCCTCTTGTTTTGCCCTTTTACCTTGTGATGGACAATTGAGACTGAGGAGAGTGGGGCCACACTTGTTTGGTATGGGCAGAGAGGCATTTTCATTGTTGAAGCTCCGCAACTTTCCAAACTGGCATTCGCACAGGCACAACCCCCTTTTTGTGTGGATACATGGAACACCACTCAAAGAACCGTAGTTATGGTGAGTAAACAAGTCTTTTCATATTGTTTGGCTGCTCAGAGCCAATTGCCATACTGTAATTTAAGAAATCAGCATATCAGTTTACTATGGTGTGTTGAGTTGCACAGCTTGATGTGCAACACCAAACAACTATGCTGATTTTTAACTGGAGGCGGTTTGCTGGATTTGGACTAATTGAATTATGCTTGCAGACATAACTAATAGATTTCTGGCCAATAATTCATTAAATAGAATCAATTCACTAATTCCTATCTTTAGTTAAGTAGTCACATTAAAATAACACAGCAGCAGCAGCAAAGAATTGTAGATAGTGTTGTTTTCATGGGAAACAAGGGTTTTAAATATCATTAATGTTTGCTGGTGTTTTTTAGGCTGTTTGATTTGTAGATTCATTGTGCTGCAACTATATGAGCAGCAATTGCATTTTTAGCTCTATTTTATAGTAAGAAAACTGGCAGAAAGGCTTAGCATCAGAGTGCTTCTACATAGAACTTCCTTGACCTCTGAGTGTAGAATTTTGAAAAAAATATTTAACTTTTAACACAGAGAACAAGTTTAACTACTGAATTCCTAGAATAGAACAGAATATAATAACAGCAAAAAAGAAAGCTATAGAATCCATTGAATCAAAATCAGTATGTCAGTATGTTCCAAATCAGGGATACCCCAACCTTTTTCACCTCACGGACTGGCTGGGGAAGGTGGGGCATCCCTAGCCCTCATGTGCGAATGAACGCCAGCGCAAACGGCAGTGCGGTGCTTGTGTGGGTGTGCGCTCTCATACGCAAACGGCAGTGCGGCACTCACACGGGGGTGCACTCATGCGCATGCACAAACGGTGGTGCAGCGCTCACATGGACAAGCTGGAGCTCATGCACATGTGCAAATCAGCTGTGCGGGGTGAGTGCGTGTCCAGGGGGGGTGTCTGTCTCCGCGTCCCAGTTTGGCTCAGGCCACGGACAGACACCAACCCATGGACCAGGGGTTGGGGACCTCTGTACTAAATGAATGATGAAAATATGTCTCCAAAGCATTGTGCATCAGAGTAATTCTGACAGTAAAGCCCTCTGGTTTTAAGATCTATCTCCTCTCTTCATATATGGATTAACTCAACATTCATTGTTGAGTGAAATAAAATAGTCTTAGTTCTATGCAGCAAAACTGTGAGGTGCACCAGGAGTTTTGTGTGCATGAGGACTTGTCATGCTCAACTGTGTATGCATCCTTATTAGACACACAGGCAGTGCAGTCTATGACTCTCTAACTGGGAAAGTTAAAGCTATTGTTAAAGAATTTAATCAGTTTGTCAGGGTCTGCTAAGCCCTGGTTTACAGTCAATAATTCTGCTGTTTGGCAGCAAAGCTGTTAACCATCTTTCAACCAAAATAAGTGGGATATGTAAATTATGTATAGTAAAATAATAATTTGAATTCTCATTTATTTTCTAGATTCTGGTAGTGTGAATGGGAGAGAAAATGTTATTGTAATTCATCCAGATTTTCGGATGATTGTTCTAGCAAATAGACCCGGATTTCCTTTCTTGGGCAATGACTTCTTTGGAACTCTAGGTAAGCAAAGCCCTTGATAAAAAGCTGTATTTTATAGACCTAAGCATGCAGAATAAAAATCAAATACTATACTAATCACATTGATGGAAGAGAGCTAAAAGATGGAAGCTGTTTTATTATTTGTGTTTAAATCTGCTTAGCATTTTTTCCCCTGCATAACTCTCTTCAGGATTTCATCAATTATTTATTCATGTGTTATTTGGAAAAAAAATGTGTCCATTGATTTATTTTAAGCCTAGAAAATGGATTCAAAATAAAGATTGGAAGAGGAGAAAAAAGGGACAGTTTAAAATATTTTTCCCTTGCAAACAGCATCACCCTTTTCCAGAATCTTAACAAGAAGAAATATGATTTTGTGATGTTTAAAAAGTGATTTGGGATGGGCTGAAGGAACTCCAAATAGTAAATTTGCATAGTGAATTGCTCTAGCTCAATAACGTCTGTTCGGATTGATGGTAGCTCTTCAAGACATTAGGCAGGGACTGTTGTACGTAACAGGAATATAACAATCCTAACAATACAAATCATCTGTTACCGTAACATGGAATGTGGCAATCTGTAACAGAAAGCATATGTACAAACTTCTATGTAAATGTGTATGTATCTGTGATAAGATAAGGCAGTCTTAGGCATCATTCTGTATAGAGGCATGGGGTTGAAGGCAGAGAATACAATGAATCGTTTTTATTAATATAATTGACAAGAGGGTGCCATATACTTAAAAAATTAGTCTTGTGTTTGAGCATTTCTTGAACTTTGCATTAATTCCTCCATTAAAACCAGGTGCTGTGGCCTGGCTTTCCAGTTCTTTAAAGATTTTTTTTTTAATGCCGGAAACCATTTTGAGTGAAATAGTGAGGACTGACTCTTGGACTTTCTGTATACTAAATGTGCATTTTACCATTGAGTTATGGTCCCTCAGTATTCAAGTATTGAGTCTCCCCTATTTAGAGTGTCCTTGGAGTTGATCATCATCATAGGCATCCTTCAGTCTCGAGAGACTATGGTAACGTGCTCTGTATGGAGGACTTGGAACAGACGCTGTATGCAAAGCTGGAGTGTCCTCTCTAGGGCACAAAGCCTGGGTAAAATAATATGGAGGATAGGCTGTTACCCAAGCAGCAAATCCCCCCTCTCCACATCACTGAAATAGTCCAATGGAAAGGCAAGAGCCAATACAACTGGTTCCAGCGACATTGCAGGAGTTGACAGAATGACACGAACTGCCTCTGGGACTCCCGCTCTAGAGTTGATAACGTGCCTCATAATGTCACTGAGCTTCTAATAATTCTCATGCATGCTTAAGTCACCTTTAGCTGAAGCTGGTCTGAATGTAAATCACCATTGTACATTTATTGTTTTCAGCTTTATATTGCATTTCAGTGATGTAAGCCACCTTGGATCTTTCTTAACGAGAAAGGCTGGATAAAATATTTTAAATAGATAAATAAACCCAGGAAGTATGCCTCAAAGAGGTGATTATTGAGTAGGAACCCATTATATGCATCATGGTAGAAATGATCAGTCAGTCGCCTCTAAATTGAGACTGACAGATGGATTCAGGCCTGTATATTGTCTGATTTTGAAAAGTGTTTGGAATCTCCAAAAAGTCTGTTACCAGGCACAATTTACAGTACTGGTTGGAGCTGCAAGGTTCTATATGCCCTGGGTGCAGAGCATCATACAGAGACAGTAATTCTCTATATGAGCTTGACCAAGTCTTAAAATCATCAAAAGAGGCGTTTCTTTCTGTCACACCACCCTCACAGAAGTCTCTGGTGAAAAAAACAAGAGGACTTTCTCAACAACTGGTCCCAGACTATTGGATTTCCCTTCCAATGGAGGCTAGTGCTTTGGTGATGGTGGTGGTTCTTTAAAATATTATCAAACTGTGTCATTTTGTGACATTTTGTACAATAACTTATTTAATGATGATATGTTTTTTAAAAACCTTTTTGCTCATGCCAGGTTGTTGGTGTAAGTTAGCAGAGTTTTTGTTTTAGTCCAGGCAGTCCAGCTGAATGACACAGACAAAGACAGCTTCTTCTGAAACCAAGTGTATTTACAGTATATACAGAAGTTCAGCAGTACAAACCGACAGCATGACATTCATTAGAAGAGATCCGTACATCTTCTCCACAGATCCACACAGTTATAAACATGCACGTTTACATACAGCCATCAGTGTGGACATTGCATCATCCCATACAGCATTTTGCACACCTGTTAAGTATGGCTGCTCATTATCATAGGCCTTGTTCTGCCTCAGTGTGGAAATTATCCTTGACACAGATAAAAGTTATTTCTTTAGTGTAATGAGACACTGTTGCATCCCTTTGCCAGTGTAACACAATGACTGTGCAGCTTTGAAGCAGTCAGTTACCTTTATTTACCATTCTCATTGTGCACAGAATAAGTGAATTGCCACTTGTGTAAATTAATTTTCCCATCTCTGTCTTTGAAACACGGATCCAGTGCTGTCCAGAGTAGCTTAGGATCCTGGCTGTTGCTGGCTGCATAATTTGCTAGGGCTAGCAGATGACACTGTTAGTACTTCAGCAAGACATTGTCACCTTGCTAATCCATTTCCTGTGCCTACCTTGTACATAATCCATGGTTTTGCATTAATCTTTCAAAAAGAAGCTAGATTCGCGAAAGCTCACACTGAAATATAACAGTCTTTAATGTGCCGTAGTATTTTTGTTCTTTTTTTAAATTTTTGTCATAGTATGTTTGCACAAACTAACACAACTATTTCTTTGAGTACTCCAATAAGTGTTATTGGCTGCTTCTTAGTGTAAATGGTAGAATTCCTTCCTACCTATTAAATTCTGGCAATGTAATGAGTACACAGTAAAATGTTGATCAGCAATGGAACATCTTATATTTTAAAAGTATGATTTCCAAATTGTATTCGTAATATCCCACCAAATCCTGCCAGATGAATCTTACCTTGTTTTTTTTAATCATGGAGCCTCCCTGGTAGATAGTGGGAATGCTATAGACATAATTTACAGTATCTAGATTTCAGCAAAGCTTTTGACAAAGTGGCTCATGATAATATGATTAGCAGGCTAACTAGATGTGGACTAGATAGAACAAGTGTGGGTTCATAGTTGGTTATAGAATCATACTCAGTGGCTTGCCCAGTCATGGGCCCATGGTATTCAGCATTGCATTAATTGGATGAAGGGGTGCAGGAAATGCTTACCAAATTTGCGGATGACAATTGAGTGGAATAGCTAATAAAGGCTGAAACAAAATTCAAAAAGATAGTGATAGGCTTGAGCACTGGGCTAAAAACAACAGAATGAAATTTAACAGGAATAAGAACAAATTTCTTCTACAGCCAGGAGGAAAAAAAATCAAATACACACAATAACAAGATGGGGGATATTTGGCTCAGTAATACTGCAGCCAAATATTGGAATTGTTGTAAATCACAAACTGATTGTTAGCCGACAGTGCAATGTGGCTGGAAAAAAAGGGCAATGCTGTTTTAAAGTGCATTAACAGACATATAATCTCCAAAACCCATGAACCACTAGTTCCCTTGTATTCAGCAGTGGTTAGGCCTCATCTTTAGTACAGTGGTGCCTCGCATTGCGACGTTAATTCGTTCCGCAAAAATCGCTGCTGCTATTAAAAAGCCCATAGAAACACATTGAAACCCCTTCAATGCATTCCTATGGGCTTAAAACTCACAGTTCAGCGAAGCTCCTCCATAGCGCGGCCATTTTCGCTGCCTCTTAAGCGAGGAATCCATCCCTAAACACAACGGGCAGGCATTTTGTTTACCCGGGGGCCATTTTAGCGAGGAATCCATCCCTAAACACAACGGGCGGGCATTTTGTTTACCCGGGGGCCATTTTGAAACCGCCAATCAGCTCTTTTAAAATCGTCGCTTTGCGATGCTTGTTTCCCGAAGCAGGGAACCGAGCATCGCAAAGGGAAATTCCCCCATAGGGAACATCGCAAACCCATTGCTTTTGCGATCGCAAAAAATGTGTCGCAAAGCGATTTCATCGCTAAATGGAGCGATTGCTATGCGAGGCACCACTGTACTGTGTCTAGTTCTGGACACTGCACTTTAGGAAGGATGCTGTGATGTTTGCCACATAACCCCTGCTTGTTTCCCCAAACAAAGGGCGCACGTTATGCCAACAGAACTTATTTATTGAATTGTATTAACTTTAATCAGAATCACTGATGTTATTTATTCAATGCATATAAACAACTCATTCAGATATCATATATCTTGCCGCCTTCACCACCTATCTGTTTATCTTGACCAGCTTATCTCTGTTATTATTTCTTCTCACTATCTCCCTGACTATCTATCTCTCTCTCCCTGACAATTCTCTCCTTCCTGCTTATTCACTTCTATCTGCTGACTCCACCCCTCCACTCCTCTCATAGGCTCATGCAAATGAGAACCAGACTGTGAGTGACAGTCTGGTCCCTCTTGGAAAACTTTGTTTCATGGGGGAAACCTTATAGTTTACCCTTATGAACAACGAACTCTGCAGGGAACAATTCATCCAAACCATCATTACAATAATATGTTAACTATTAAATCATGTACCATATTTCACTCTTTAACACAATATATTTACCTTATACAATGCTTCTACATATCCTTTTTTACATGTTCTCTCACTATGTTTAGCAGTTTCAACTTATTACTTTAAACATTTAAAACAATCAGTACAATTAAGCCATTTGCATTAATTCTCTTAATACTACTTACATTACTTTTACATTTATACCATTACTTACCATTTTTTCACAAGACATTGCAGTTTAATTACTTCTCACAACTAGTGTACAAACAGAACATTTCTTACAACATTACAACATTACACTTTTTCCCATCTATCCGTTAGTCCTCTAGTCTTGAAGACAACGCGTCAGGCACCACATTCTGCGTTCCATTCACGTTGCGAATTTCAAAATCGAAGTCCTGCAAGAATAGGGCCCACCTCATCAGTTTGTTGTTATTGGCCTGAATAGTCCTTAGCCACAAAAGTGGGGAATTGTCAGTGCATAGTACAAAATGTCTTCCCCAGATATATGGTCTCAGTTTCTTCAATGCCCAGACTATAGCTAGGCACTCCTGCTCAATCGTAGATAAATGCTTCTTGCCCGCCTGCAGTTTCTTGATGTGGTAGGTCACAGGATGATGGTTTCCATCATCATCAGCTTGGCTCAGCACGACTTCCAGCTTGACGCTGGATGCATCTGTGAAGACTATAAACTCGCGCTGGAAGTCTGGGTCTCTCAGGACTGGACCGGTGGTCAGCGCTGTCTTCAATTTGTTAAAGGCTTCCTCACAGTTGGCTGTAAGCTGGATGTTCTCAGCTTGTCTCTTGTGGGTTAGATTAGACAGAGGGGCAGCTATCTCGCTAAAGTTAGGCTCAAAGCGACAATAGTAGCCGGCTAACCCTAGAAAAGCTCTTATTTTTTTCTTGGATGTTGGCTTGGGCCAATTGTTGATAGCCTCTATTTTGGATTCAAGGGTTTTGATTAAGCCTCCACCTACTACATTGCCTAAATATTTTAATTCTGACCTCCGCAGTTGGCATTTACTTACTTTAACTGTCAATCCAGCCTCCTGTAGTTTTTGTAGCACTATTTCAAGGCGGATTTTGTGCTCTTCCCAGGTCTGGCTATAAATCCCAATATCGTCCATTTACGCTACCGTAAACTCTCTAAGCCCCTGTAAGGTTTTGTCCATGAGTCTTTGAATGGTTGCTGGAGTGTTTTTTAATCCGAATCTCGACCTGGAATTCGAACAAGCCTAGGGGGCTACAAAAAGTGTTTTTTTCTTGATCATTGGGGTCTGGGCCCACTTGCCAGAACCCCTTAGTCAGGTCGAAACTTGAGATATATTGGCATCTTCCTATGATCTCTGTGAGGTCATCTAAATGAGGCACATCGGGTAAGTGTCTGTTTTAGTGATGTTATTTAATTTTCTGTAGTCTATGCAGAAGTGGATCCTTCCATCTGGCTTATCTACCAGCACTATTGGGGCTGCCCAAGGGCTAGAAGAAGGAATGATGATTTTTGCCTTCAGCGTCTCATCTACCTCCCCACGAACCTTGGCAACATATGGCCCCATTACCCAATAAGGAGTAACAGCTATGGGGTGTGCATCCCCGGTATCTATTTTATGCACTACCCCCTCGGCTACACCGGGCTTATTAGAAAAGATTTGCTTATATTTTAGCAGTAATGCTCTTGCTTCTTCTTGTTGCTCTGGTGATAGGGTAAGGCTAATTTTGACTTCCTCAGGGTTGTACTGGGGTTCACCCCTTCCTTCCCAATACTGTAATTCAGGGTAATTCATGTTTTTCATTGGGAGTTTCTTTGATGGCATACAAAACATAATTTTCCTTCCTATAATATGGCTTAATCATATTTACGTGCACCACCCTTCTGCCTTCTTCTCCCTCCTCCTGAAGTACATAGTTCACGTCACTCCTTTTAGAGATCACTTTAAATGGACCTGACCAAGCTAATTGAAGTTTATTTCCTTTGATGGGTCTCAGCATTAGCACTTCGTCTCCAGGATTAAATACTCTTTCCCTGGCCCTCCTGTCGTACCAGTGTTTTTGCTTTCCCTGATTGCTTTCTAAGTTATCTGCTGCTATTTCCAGAGATTGTTGCAATGAGTTCATCAGTTCATCAATGTATTGGACAACTGACTCAGGATCACCCTCTCTACTTTCCTCCCAGTTTTGACAGAGTGGGTCTAGGGGTCCTCTAGCTTTTCATACAAATAGTAATTTAAAAGGGCTATATCCTGTACTTTCCTGGGGTACAGATCTATAGGCATATAATAATGGTTGTAATTTCTGGTCCCAGTCATTTGGATTCTCAGCTGCATACGCTCAAATCATTCTCATTAAGGTACCATTAAATTTCTCGACTAAACCATTGGTCTGGGGATGATAAAGGGATGACATGATGTGAGTCGATAATTAACAAATAGTTAATTATCTCAGAATCGAAGCCCATGCGACACAAGTAATTTATTAGTACATCTGCCACTGTCTCTGTTTCAATATTCTGCAAAGGTACAGCTTCCGGATACCTTGTGGCATAATCAGTTTCAGCGGTGCCTCGCATTACGATGTTAATTTGTTCCAGCGAAATCGCTGCAAAACGAAAACATCATAATTCGATTTTAAAAAGCCCATAGAAACGCTTTAAAACCCCTTCAATGCGTTCCTAGGGGCTTGAAACTCACAGTCCAGCGAAGATCCTCCATAGCGCGGCCATTTTCGCTGCCTGTGGAGCGAGGAATCCGTCCCAGAAAACAGCGGGCGACCATTTTGTTTACCCGGCGGCCATTTTGAAACCGCCGATCAGCTGGCCGAAAAACATCGCTTTGCACTGATCAGTTCCCGAAGCAGGGAACCGATCATTGCAAAGCGAAATGTCCGCATAGGGAACATCGTTTTGCGATTGCAAAAACATTGACGGCTAGTGATTTCGTCGTCAAATGGAGCGCCCGTTAAGCAAGGCATCACTATATTGATAAAAGGGCCATTTTCGCTGCCTGTGGAGCGAGGAATCCGTCCCAGAAAACAGCGGGCGACCATTTTGTTTACCCGGCGGCCATTTTGAAACCGCCGATCAGCTGGCCGAAAAACATCGCTTTGCAATGATCAGTTCCCGAAGCAGGGAACCGATCATTGCAAAGCGAAATTTCCCCATAGGGAACATCGTTTTGCGATTGCAAAAACATTGACGGCTAGTGATTTCGTCGTCAAATGGAGCGCCCGTTAAGCAAGGCATCACTATATTGATAAAAGAAATCTGTTCCCCCGCTTGGTAACTTTAGGTAGAGGTCCCACTATGTCTAGGCCTATTTGTTGAAAAGGGGTCAAGATGACTGGCAATGCACAGCTTAGCCTTTGTCTTGTCATTCCCAGTACTTTGTCTTTGGCAGGTATCACAGCTCTGACAATATAGCTTGACCTGCTTCCCCATCCCAGGCCAGTAGAAGTTTTGAGCAATCCTTTGCTTAGTACGTGAGATACCTAAATGAGCTGAAAATATTCCTTTATGCACCTTTTCTATAATACTCTCTATATATTTGAGAGGTACTATCAGCTGTCTGAGAATGCTTTCCCCTCCCCTCATAGGGTTCACTGACACCTCTCTATACAATAGGTCTTCTTTTATACAGTATCTTTCCAAACTCCTGACTATCCCTTATATCTTATGGGAATTCTTTGCCATGGGTAACACCACAATTTCAGATCCAGTCCCTTTAATAGAAATGTTTTCCAATGGTGCCTCGCATAGCGAGGTTAATCCGTTCCGGATTAACCCTTGCTATGTGAAAACATCGCTGTACGGAACGGGGAAGCCCACTGGAATGCATTAAACATCGTTTAATGCGTTCCAAATGGGCAAAAAACTCACCATTCAGCGATGTTTCCAGGGTCTGGCAGCCATTTGCGCGCCCTCGGTAAGCAAGGGCAGGGCGCGAAAACGCTGCGCATGGCCATTTTGGGGCTTCCGGTGGCCATTTTGGAACCGCTGATCAGCTGTTCCCCCAACATTGCAATGCGTAGATCGGTAAGCGAAACGCTTACCAATCTTCACAATGCAAGTTTTGCCCACAGGGGCTATTGGTATGCGATCGCATTTGCGATCGCAAATACCTCATCCCTATGCAATTTCGTCGTTCTGCAGTGCGCTCGTTAAGCGAGGCACCACTGTATTTCCCTTAAGGACTATATCTGGGTGACACACTGTAACTTGTGAGCAGGAGTCTTTTAGTGCTAGATACTTATTATTATCAACGAAATAATATCTCCTGAGCTGCGTAGTAGATTCTGGTTACATTCTATCAAATAGCATTGGAAGACCCTAGACACAGGAGGCTCTTGGCTCTCTGCCTTCTCTGTTACTTGGGTTGCTATGGCAACAGACTCTACTGATGCTTTAGTAGCTCCATTATGCTGTACGCAAGATACCTTCTTTGACTGACTGGAATTTCCCCCGTTTTGCTGGTTAACATCTCTAGTCTTTTGATTTTGACACTAGGCCCACAAATGTCCTTTATCCTCGCACACATAACATTCTATTTCTCCCTACCACCCTCTTATATTCTGCAGACTCTGCCCCTCCACTCCTCTCCTAGGCTCATGCAAATGAGAACCAGACTGTGAGTGACAGGAGTCAGGTGGGGCAACCGTCACAGATGCTGACAAAGTGGAACAAGTTCTGAGGAAGTCAGCAAGGGTAATGAGGAGACTAGAAATCAAGCAGTTTGAGGAAAAACAGAAAGAACTGGACACGTTCAGCCCTGAGAAAAGAACACTGAGGGGAAATGTGATAGTAAATACTTGAAAGATTGTCATACACAGGAGGAGCAGGATCTGTTCTTGAACATCCCAGAATGCAGGACACATAACAATGGGCTCAAGTTACAGGAAGCCAGATTTTGGCTGCATATCAGGAAAAAATGTTTAACTATTAGAGCAGCATGACAATGGAACTAGTTATCTTAGGAGGTGGTGAGGATTCCATCGCTAAAGGCATTCAAGAGAAACCGTCTTTCAGATATACTTTGATTTGTGTTCCTAGGAGGTTGGACTTGATATATTGAGCAGGAGGTTGCACTTGGTCTTCCAACTCCATTATTCTATGATATTTACATAATTGTGTCTTATCTGTTCTTGTTTATTTCAGGAGATATTTTTAGCTGCCATGCAGTTGATAATCCTAAACCAAATTCAGAACTTGAAATGCTTCGCCAATATGGGCCTGAGGTTCCTGAGCCAGTTCTGCAGAAACTTGTGGCTGTTTTTGGGGAGCTGAGAAGCTTAGCTGACCAAGGAATTATCAATTATCCTTATTCAACTAGAGAAGTAGTGAATATAGTCAAGCATTTGCAGGTACAGTATAGTTGTTCCTGATATTGATGAATTCACTGGTAGAATTGATATTTAAAGATGGATAAATAATGATGTTTAACTTCTGAAAGCCTCTTTAAAGATTAGGCTGAGTTTTGTGGAGCATGAAATATTTGTGTCTCTAAGTGTAGTTTTTAATTACTTTACTTACTCCTTGAAATTAGTAAGGCAAATAAGTTATGAATAATTTAGGCTGTATGTATTTCAGTCAAACTTCAGCTGGACTTTCTCTTGATATGTGTCTACTACTCTTTCTTTCCTATAAAGAACAGAATTTGTTCCTTTGTGTTTACAGTTTTTGTACGTACACGCATCCCTAAAAGACATAAGAGAATCCTACAGTCTTCCCACACTTTCCAAAAACTGTTGGCACAATTAACGTACTTGGCCATTGTGGAGGACAGGAAGCTTCTATAGGCTACCTGTACTCCAGTATTCTGTGACCAAAAAGGAGGTGGTGGAAGGGAATGGTTTGTATATTGTGCTCTGTATGTGTATGTATGGGTGCATGCATGCACACAGGGAGGAACTACAACTTCATTTATTCTAGAGTGCTCCCACACACTTGGGTGCGACACCTTTTTAGTGAACCGTACACTTCCTGATATGGAAAGTATATCTAAACTCTCTGTTCAAGGTAAGCTAGAGTTTGGGGTGGGGGTGGGGATTAAATTTGTGTATGGATAATATTTGAGAAAAACAAGACTGTTATAGCCAGTATTCTGTTTGCCTAGCACATGTGAGCAGCCATCCATTGCATGCACAGTTGTTCCCCCTCCCCAATTCAGTGCCAGTCAGTCCCCATAGGTCAGCCACTTCCCATCTGGCTCTATGAAAAATGCCTAGATTCAAGGGTTTTCGGAAGGAGTGGCCAGAACATCACCTTGGCAAAAAACAAACAAGAAGGGCCAAAAAATTGAGCTGTTCAGACAGGCAGGTAACAATTCTAGGGACAAAAGACACTGCCATTGCTCTTTTCTCCCTCTTCCTTCCTCCCCTGTGAGTGTCAGTGTTGTCGTGTGGCAGCAGGGGGGCTTCTGCCTGCCTGTGCTATGCCTGCAAAGTTTTACACTCTGATTGTACATAGATCTATACGTTTTATTTCTAGAGTTCCTGGTATTTCACAGGATAATTATTGAGCAGAAATTTGACCAATCTTTACATTTCAGAATCTGTATAGATAGAAGTAAGTTCTAATGGGAGGAAACTTAGGGACTATTAAAATGTTATGTCTTTATGACAGACTTATGTTGAATTCATAAATGCAGTGTAAGAGAAGATCTTGATATGCGGTTACTGATAATTTGAGGGAGTGTTATTTTGGATTTCCACTAATATTCATGTGGAGTAAGTTAACTGACTCGTTTTTCGTTTAGTCGTGTCCGACTCTTCGTGACCCCATGGACCAGAGCACGCCAGGCCCTCCTATCTTCCACTGCCTCCCGGAGTTGTGTCAATTTCATATTGGTTGCTTCGCAGACACTGTCCAGCCATCTCATCCTCTGTCGTCCCCTACTCCTCTTGCCCTCACACTTTCCTAACATCAAGGTCTTTTCCAAGGAGTCTTCTCTTCTCATGAGATGGTCAAAGTACTGGAGCCTCAGCTTCAGGATCTGCCCTTCCAGTGAGCACTCAGGGTTGATTTCCTTTAGAATTGATAGGTTTGTTCTCCTTGCAGTCCAGGGGACTCTCAAGAGCCTCCTCCAGCACCACAATTCAAAGGCATCAATTCCTCGGCGGTCTGCTTTCTTTATGGTCCAGCTCTCACTTCCATACATCACAACAGGAAAAACCATAGCTTTAACTGTTCGGACTTTTGTTGGCAAGGTGATGTCTCTGCTTTTTAAGATGCTGTCAAGGCTTGTCATCGCTTTCCTCCCAAGAAGCAGGCGTCTTTTAGTTTTGTGGCTGCTGTCTCCATCTGCAGTGATCATGGAGCCCAAGAAAGTAAAATCTGTCACTGCCTCCATATCTTCCCCTTCAATTTCCCAGGAGGTGATGGGACCAGTGGCCATGATCTTAGCTTTTTTGATGTTGAGTTTCAGGCCGTTTTTTGCACTCTCCTCTTTCACCCTCATTACAAGGTTCTTTAATTCCTCCTCACTTTCTGCCATCAGAGTGGCATCATCTGCATATCGGAGGTTGTTGATATTTCTTCCGGCAATCTTAATTCTGGCTTGGGATTCCTCCAGTCAAGCCTTCCGCATGATGTATTATGCATTTAAGGGGACAATATACAGCCTTGTCATACTCAAGTTAACTGACTATAAGACTCTAATTATATTTTTAATCTGTATAACATTTGTTACAACTTTTCTCTTTGAGATTCTCCAATGAAAAACCTTCCCAAGGAAAGAAAACAATATTTTTAGACCATATATATTTTCTCATTGTTTTATATAAGATGTTAAATCAGTTTTCACATGAGTGTCACTTAAATTGATTAATTGTTGTACAGTGTCTCCTAAAATGATATTAAAGTGGGATGTGAAGTTCTTTCAGTGTGAGGTTTGCTTAGAAAGGTGATTTGTAGTTTCTTGAGTTGCATCTGGCATTATTCCCTTAATGTTACATTATAAGTGATTTTATTAGTTTTAAATTCATCCTTTGAACATATTTAATAATTATATATTTTTGTCTGTACACTCCTGAGATTGCTCAGTGAAGTACATTAGTATTGGGTGGTTTAAATCTAGAATCTGCCAGGTCTAGTGAAGTGGATCCTGTCTAAACCATTGCTCTGTTCAACCCACAGTATACACCGTTGATTCAGGAGGTGGAACTCATACATCTATGAATCTGGTTGATCTTAAGTCCCCGGGTTCCCTGATCCTTGGGCCCCCCTGCTACCATGTTTCCCCTGGTCTTATATAAATTTTTGCTCCAAAAAACGCAGTAGGAGTTATTTTCAGGGGATGTCTTATTTTTTCATTTTTTTTAATGTATAACAATCTACATTTATTCAAATACAGTCATGCCATCTTCTTCTGATTGCTGCACAATGGTGGAGGGCGGGGTTTCACTTACCTGGGGCTTATTTTGAGGGTAGGGTTTATATTACGAGCATTCTGAAAAATCAAACTAGGGCTTCTTCTCAGGTTAGGTCTTATTTTAGGGGAAATGGGATGGTATACTGAAACAACAAAAGCCGTTGACTTTCTTTCCTTTCCAAGTCAGCAAGGCATGGGATGCAACAATTTAAACACTTAATTTACCCTAAGGTAATTGAACAAGCAGCACCAACTCAATTGCAGACTTTCTAGGACAGAGTTGGCTGTTTTGATGCTAATTTCTAATTTCAGGCCTGGTTTGCAGAGAAAAACAGTTTTGACTTCCTTGATTGCTCGGTTATTTGTTCAGACACCCTGAGAGGGGAAATGCAGGTCTATTTATGAGAGGCTTTTAAGTGGTCCTGATCCTCCCTGATGCTCCCAGAAGACAGTATTGGGAACTGTACTTTTAAACTTCCTTTTTGTTCTTTTGTGGTTACAGACTTCCTAAAATAATTTTATGTTTATAACCTTTATATTTAATAATCTGATGCAAAAACCCAGGAAACCAGTAGGTATGATGATCCCATACTTCAGCCCGTTTAGAAAAAGATGATGCTTTTGAGACAGATTTTCTCTTTCACTGCAGTGGTAGAATAGTTTGAAATATACACCCTAGAACTCATTTTGTGCATTAGAACACCTGTGGAGCTTTAAATCTTGCACTCTATAGTTGAGGGCACAGACTGCACACTAAATAGTGTTTTGTGTGTGGCTGCTTTTATTTTATTCTCTCTCTCTCTCTGTGCAGAAATTTCCAACAGAAGGACTGGCAAATGTTGTTCGGAATGTCTTTGATTTTGACTCCTACAACAATGAAATGCGTGAGATTTTACTTAGGACTTTGCATAAACATGGAATACCAATTGGAGCAAAACCCACCAATATACAGCTGGCTAAGGAGTAAGACTGACATATGTTATATATTGCTGCTAGTTAAGACCAAGGTGGCATGGTTGATCTATTATATTATCTTCCAGTAGGTTATAATATATTATTGCATTATCTATTTATATAGTGCAATTGCTGAACATTTACCGTATATATCATTCTGTATAAATCGTGAACTTTTAATCTAATATTGGTGTTATTTGTGATAAAATCTAATCAAATAAAGGGAAATATTTGTTTATTTTCCCTCTGTTTCTATTCATTGAATTCGTTTTCTGCCTTTTATCTTCATATTTAGTGGCAAAGCCAATTTTTTTTAATCACTAGTGTGGGGAGTAAGGTAGCCTTTTATTCTACACAGATCCTTCAAAATACAGGGGTGGTGTGGGTGCTCATATACATGAAGAAAGAGCAAATGGAGTTGAAGTATCTCCATACTTTTAAAGACATTGATATTATTAGTAAGGCACGTACTGGCTGCTTTCTCAAAAGAAATTATTTTTCAAAACTACAAAATGAAAAAGTGTTTATATGTCATTCAACTTACGTCATGGTATCAACTGTCTTCGACCAATAGCTTGCAGGCAGTTATTTGATTACTATAACGTATGTAAACTGTTCTTTTCTGAATATTGAATTTTATAGTTTGAAAAGTGACTTGACAAAGATAAAATCACTAAGCCCATCTCAATAACCATTTATAGTAAAACAAATATTTCCCTTTATTCTATGTAACATGAAAGTGGATTACACAGATCAGTTTTTACACAGATGCTTTTTGTAGTTGTTAAGATCTGCTAAGCAGAAAGAGCAGAATCTCTCACTCTAACTAGATGTCTCAGTCAATTGTCAATGTCCAAATCATCCCCATAATCATGTCTCAGAACTTTCAGGGACATTTTGAAAAAGGGAAAAACTCAACAGTCTTACTATGCTTTAACTTGTCATCTTGATGCCTGAGGAATTTAATGCTTTGCAGGCTGAGTTGCAGAGGGAACACCATGTATACATCAATTACTTCTGTGTCACACAGTTCTTTTGAAAACACTCAGTAGCTTACAGAAACTGTAAGAACATTCTTCAGAGAATACAATTTCAAGATAAAATTCTATTGTTATTATATAAAGCTATCCATTACCAGTGGATAGCTTTATATAATAACAGTAGAATTTTATCTTGAAATTTTATTCTCTGCAGAATGTTCTTCCAGTTTCTGTAAGCTACTGAGTGTTTTCAAAAGAACTGTGTGACACAGAAGTAATTGATGTATAGAGCTATCCATTACCAGTGTGACCTGGTGGCGCTGCGGGTTAAACCGCAGAAGCCTCTGTGCTGCAAGTCAGAAGACCAGCAGTCGTAAGATCAAATTGATGCAATGGTGTGAGCTCCTGTTGCTTGTCCCAGTTCCTGCCAACCTAGCAGTTTGAAAATGTAAATGCGAGTAGATAAATAAGTACCACCACGGTGGGAAGGTAACACCATTCCATGTCTAGTGGCGCTGGCCACGTGACCACAGAAACTGTCTATGAACAAATGCTGGCTCTACGGCTTGGAGATGGGGATGAGCACTGGACATGACTGGACATGAGTTGGACATGACTGGACCAAAAGTCAAGGGAAACCTTTATCTTTATATCCATTACCAGTACACCATTGAATAGTAACCCATTTAGAATAATAATTCTTTGAATTCTATGGTTTTACACATCAGGACATAATAAAAAAATCATCTGGTCCTTAGCAGGACTGAAAAACAGATAAATGCAACCTCAGATGAACAGCAACACATGACAGTTTGCTGGTCTGGAGCATTCAGGTATGTGTTAACACAATGCCAGGGAGGAGACTGTCATGAGTGCTTCCAAAGACCTGGACCCAGAAGGGTTAACTGTGGCTGAAGAGAATGTGGAGAGATCAGAAACACCTGAACCGCCTCCAGATTCTCCCTCCACAGCAGACAGGCTTCGGGGCAGGCTTCAGGAAAGACTTAGAACAAGAAGATCAGAGGATCGGTCAAAGGCTTTCCACAGAGACCTACGTTCATCTAGTCCTGAGTACTAGCAGGATAGAAAGCTTTCCAGCAGCTCAAGGAGCTGTTTCATTATAAAACAAGCTGCCAGTGAAGCCAGAAACTTCGTGGCAGCAAGGAGTCAAAACCTTGGCTTGCATCCACATTTCTTGCATCTTGTTCCTGTCTCTGAACTCTGGACTTTGACCCTGGACTGCGCTGGTATTGGACTCTGAACTCTGGACTCTGACCCTGAACTACACTGTGTATCAGACCCTGGACTTTGACATTGGACTTCATTCTGTAAGTTGGTTTCTGGACTTTGGCTTTGCATTCTTGATATCTCTGACCTTGGACTGGTTTATCGGATTTCGGCTATTGTAACCCCCGGGAACGTGACAGAGACACACCAGCAATGATTGTAGAGAAGCAATTGTTGCTGCCCATCAATCTGGGAAGGGTTATAAGGCCATTTCCAAACAATTTAAAATCCATAATTCTACAGTGAGGAAGATAATTCACAAGTGAAAAACATTCTTACTATTCTTCCCAGGAGTGGACGTCCAAGCAAATTCACCCCAAGGCCAGACCTGGAGTGCTCAGAGATACTGAAAAAAACACCAAGAGTTACATCTTAGACTCTACAGGCCTCAGTTAAATCATTAAATGTTAAAGTTCATGACAGAAAAATTAGAAAAAGACTGAACAAGTATGATTTGTTTGGAAGGGTTGCCAGGACAAAGCTTCTTCTCTCTAAAAAGAACATGGCAGCATGGCTTAGATTTGCAAAGATGCATCTGGACAAACCACAAGACCTCTGGAACAATGTCCTTTGGACAAACAAGATCCAAATGGAGAACTGTGACCATAATGCACAGTGCCACTTTTGCCAAAAACAGCATATCAGCACAAACACCTCATACCAACTGTCAAGCACAGTGGTGGAGCCATTTGGCTGACAGCTAAAGCTTGGCCAAAATTGGGTCATGAAACAGAACAGTGATAAAGCAGACCAGCAAATCTATAACAGAATAGCTGAAAAAAAGAAAAGAATTAATGTGTTGCAATGGCTCAATTAAAAGTCCAGACCTCAACCCAATTGAAATGCTGTGGTGAGACCCTAAGAGAGTTGTGCATCAACAAATGTTTGCAAACCTCAATGGACTGAAGCAATGTAGTAAAGAAGAGTGTGCCAAAATTTCTCCACAACAATGTGAGAGACTGATAAAGTCATACAGAAAATTATTACTTCACCTCATTGTTGCTAAAGGTGGTTCTACAAGCTATTGAATCGTAAGATGTATTTAGTTTTTCATACATGGCTTCTCCATTCTGGCTTTATTTCTGTTAAATAAATCATGACATGCTGTAACGTGTCATGTGTTGTTGTTCATCTGAGGTTGTATTTGCCTAATTTTCAGACCTGCTAAGGACCAGATGATTTTATTATATCCTGATACATAAAACCATAGAATTCAAAGAGCGCATACTTTTTCACATAACTATAGTTGCAAGGCAGAAGGACTGTAATGCGTATCTTGTTCCTAGGTCATCATTAGTCTGGGCATTGATGATGGGACCAGGGGAACATAAGAAGCAGAAGTGAATGATGGATTCAGAATAGTTGAGACAATTCTCTAGATCTGTATGAGACAAAAAGATGTGTTAGTGAATTCTGGCTGAAGCATTTGAGAACCATCCTTGTCTGGGAGCCTGTGACTATGTTTTTATCATCATTTTCACATGGGCAGATAGATGGTGCAGTTGCAATACAGAATATTGTTAGGGTCACATTAGGTTATATTCCACTTGTTTGTCCAAGCTCACGATGATTTGGAACAATGCCAATAAAAGAGGCAATACTTGAGGGCACTGCATTATGACAATCCTCCAGGAGAGATGCATCTTCTTGAATTTAAATCTGTATGTCAGGATGATGACAAGTGTCAGAATATTTGTAGGATGTGTACTGATATGAGTATTGAACACAGATTTTATTCCTTTAACTTATTTTTTCTTTTTGACCTGGAGGAGGAGAATTACTAGAATGGGTAACAAACATCAGCAAAACTCTGATTGTTGAAACTTGTTGTATGCTCATTACAGATTTTTGTTTCTTCTACTTCTATGCCAAGAAATACCAATGAAAACTATCAAATCAATATTGAAGCAGTTGGTGCTGGCAAAGATGACTACTCTTGATTTTTGTTTATTGGGAGTAGCAAATGCACTATTATAAACTGCAATGACGAATTTGAAAAGGCTAGCATACTTTGATTTTGATTTGGAGTGTATTAACTCCAGTTAAAGCTTAATATTATTAACTGAAAAGTAACTAATCAATGAAGTGCAAGTGACTTTTAACATGGGGATATTCTGCTACCGTTGGGTCTCTCAAGGTAGATAACATGTTGGATTCCCAGGACAGCTTCCTGCACCCTAGCCTACCATCCCTGCACTACCTCCTGCATGGCCATGGCTATGATAGTGTTATCCAAATTATCACTGAGTGTCTTCCTTTCTTTGAACATCTTAACATTGTCTTGATGACACTCCAGATGCATAGCGGCAGCCAGAGGCATGGTGCTTATTGTCCAAGGCACAGAAGGCTGTGAATTTTTAAAATGAATTTTAGATCAATGTTCCGTCTAATTTTCTCCCAGCGCTGGGTGGTGGCCCAGCTCCATGAGTGGGAAATTGGCCACGACTGGAACCACATGGATGGCAACACTTGCTGCAGGTGCGTAGCACCAATGCAGTGCTATATGGCTGCACACTCGTGCAGCTTAGAGGAAATGTTGGCTGAGACAATCCTGAGGTCTTGAGATGTGGCCTCCATTGTTCTTTTCCTGAGTCCTGAGGATGTCTGCTTAATCATTTAGGTTTCTAATTAAGGAACAATGTAGTGTTGGTTAGCTCCCCATTTTCGTCTTTCCTAATATGCCCCTCTGGTAGGAGTGATTCACTCACTGTTTAGGGAATATCCTCATTTATGAACAGGATG